AAGAAATCGGAACAACCAATAAGAACACAGAACCTACAAGCAATCCCCTTGGAATTCGTCGAGGTGTCTCCATGCTCCGCTACTCTCGATCTGCTGCATCCTACGGTTCAGGTGCACCGGAATCTCGAAGAGTCACCAGAGCATGACTGAGCAGTGACGGTGCATGCTTCGCCTCGCCAAACCAACCTAACAGGTTACCCCCCAGTTGCATCAGTCTGCTGGGCACTGGTGACTCCAGGGAGACAAAGCACCTCCAGTATCTTTTTTTCTCATGCAAGAGAGAGTCAGGATTATCATCCAGTTAGGTCGGCCGGGTGACTTACCTCCCGAGTGACGAGTCCCCCCGACCTACACGATCCCCAATCCCCACACTCGAAAGATCGTCTGCCAGCCATGGCTGTCTCTCTGACCACTCCCGTAGGTGGTGGACTCATAGTTTCTTCATCCTCCGCCAGCGAGCTTCATGGCGCATCCATTCCATTAACTATCAAGTGCCCACCCTCCACTTCCCAAGTGTGCAAGCAATGTGCTGTCTGTGCTCTTCGCTCACCAAAGTCTCCCCATGCTAGTTACTTCCGCAGAAAGCAGGAACGTCCAGAGCCAGTAAAAGCAGTCACTACCCTTCCTAGTCCGCTGGCTACTAGCATTTCTCCCCTTTCGTCAGTCTCGGACCTTTTGATGCTTGAAAATTCGTTATACGGGAGAGAATTCCTTTTGGACTGCGAGTTTCCGGAAGGAGTAGACGAAGCTGCCCTTACAAAGGACCTGAGTGAAGAGGAGACTGAACGCTCGTTGCTGGAATCACAGTGGGAGCTTCCTTCAAAGGACCCCGAGCTCTCTGAAAATGTCTCTGAGCCACTCCAGGCCAGCAGTTCGAGGAAGGCTAGCAGAAACATTGTTGTTAACAAAAGCATGTCTGCGAGGAAGCGCCGTATGCAGGCCAGACGCAACCGAGATTTGCAGGATCAGACCGCCGATGCAAACGTTTTCCGTGTGGGTCTAGAAAGCAAAGGCAAGGGTGACGTTAGCGAGAAGGAGTCATCGAGCGACTTTCTTGCAACTTTTCTTACCGAAATTGGGAAGGCCAAGCTGCTGACCAGGGAAGAAGAGATTGAGCTGTCCAGGAGAGTCAAGAAGTCTGTGGAACTCCAAAATCTACGAGCCAGGTAGGGCTCGATATCGCTTCTGTCCTCGTTTCTTCTGTCCCTCTTCCGCCTCGTGAACGGCTTTCCTTTCAATGTTTCAGGGTGTCTGAGGAGCTTGGTCGAGAGGCCACCCACTCCGAGTGGGCGAAGGCGCAAGGCTGTTCGGTATACTCGCTCAGGAGGAAGCTGAGGGAGGGGGAGCTGGCCAGGCATAAGTTGCTTGCGACAAACTTACGTCTGGTAGTTTCCGTGGCGAAGAAGTACATTAGATGTGGGGTTGAGCTCTCCGATCTGGTTGCGGTAGGTGACTGCATGTTACGTCTGCTCGTTCATTCGAGTAAGAAGTGTGTCTCAGTTCAATTACGTTGACCGGTTTGCTTTTCAGGCTGGAACGATGGGCCTCTCCAAAGGTGTGGAGAAGTTCGACCCGAACAGAGGGTACAAGCTCTCTACTTACGTTCACTGGTGGATCCGACAGGTAGGAGCTGTTATACCATCGCGCATCTGTTGGTATTTGTATAGTTTCAGCTGCCAGCGTTGGCTGACTTCATCCTTTCCCACTCTGTCTTCCAGGCGGTAACTCGGGCTGTTGCCGACCACTCCCGCACGATCAGGCTGCCTGTCCATGTGCACGAGACCCTCGGAAGATTGCGGAGGGCGAAGGCACAGCTCGCGAGCGAAGGGGAACTAGCGAGCGTCAAGGTGAGTGATGTACCGCCAACCTAGTTGCGAACCACTCGAGGCCAACCTGGGACTGATCTGAATGCGTCCGCCTGTTTTCAGAATCTCGCTAACACCTTGGGATTGTCAGAGCGGAAAATTGACAACGTCCTCAAGGTCAGTGTTGATATCATCTGTATCGTTGCACATTTCGTCTTGTATATGGCTGACATGATTGAATGTCTAATCGTTTTGTTTGTATATTGCAGCTCAAGTACAAGACAAGATCCATGAACGAAGAAGTATCGCCAAACAACCGCATGGAAGAGGGCTCGACAATGGACAACGTGAGTATTTGTGCATTTTGGAGTTCGGATGGTCCTACTTCGCCTCTTGTATAACCTTGGCCTCTGTTTTCCAGTTCATTGCGGATCCAGATGCGGAAACTCGCTCCTGGAAGGAGCTGGAAGCGGATTTCCTGCAGGTAAGACTTAATCGTCTGCATCTCCATGTCGAGGTTGTGTCGGGTCTTGGTTTCTCATGTGATGCGCTCTGTCTTCAGGCCAATGTCAAGAATGTGCTGCTTGATCAGCTTGATCCTCGAGAACGGGACATCATCCGGCTAAGATTCGGATTCGGAAGGACTGATGGAAGGACGATGACTCTTGATGTGATTAGCCAACGGTAAGTATTGACTGATTCAGCCTCCTGTATCTACTCTTTACAAGCTGATCACTCAACGTTTTTCTCACTGCAGATATGGAGTTTCTAGAGAGAGGATAAGACAGCTTGAAACAGTGGCTGTGCGCAAGCTGAAGCTTCTCAGCCAGGGCAAAGAGCTGCACAGGTACTGCTACTAGCAGTGACACTGTGCGTGTAGTAGCACACTGTTGATATTATAAATGCCAGCAGGAGGCACGGAGAACTGGAGCTTGTAGATCCCCCAACATGGAAAGGGATGATGCTTTGCAGTAGCTGTGTCCTGTTGGCCAGAGGACTGGTGGAGATGTGCTATGCAGTAACTGTACAGGGAAGTTTCTATCATCAACGAAATGTATTCTAATGGACTTATAGTGGCTTCCGCCTTGTAGTGTCATTGCATTTCAAGTAGAAACTTAGCTTGGTGGAGCAATTACTGTGGTGGTTTGTGAGGAAACAGAAACATATAAAATATCCTGCTACACGTCTAATCATTCAATCTAAATCAGGTGAATGTACAATAATCGAGCTGGGTGCGCCAACTGCGGCATATGCTTGAAAATTCACTCGTGTCGCTTCTCACGTGTGGTTCTCAACATGATCGCAAGGCGCGTTGTCGACCTCGATCGGACGATGTCATCACCTTATCAGCTTCTAGCTTCGGTGATCCGACGGTCCATTATCTTTCCCTGGCATTTGAGCGCGCTCTTCGATTGCACCACCAATATCTGGAAGACATTGTTGGTCGCTTCCAGTGACCACTCGACGAATCGCGGCAGTGGTGACATTTCTCGCCCCATCCCAAGCCCGCGGTCCCAAGTTCCGACCAAATTCATCGAAGCATATCCATCCACTCCTTGGGTTTGGTGAAGTAGGGTAGGAGGGGCATTGAGGCGCGATAAGACAGTTTCACGCATGACGCTGATTCACCAACACAACAGCTCTGACTCGTCAGACCGTAAACGAGCGACGACTGGGACCAGCGGATTACTTATCAAGTTTGTTAGTTCTGCATTGATACGGCTAAGCTCGTAAAGTCTCGGAGGCGACACGTTCGAGATTGAAGACATATCCACAATCACCTTCTGGAAGACTCTCGAAGTTTATATTGCGCAGCAGGCGAAGTGCTATAAGCAGCAGCCATTGATTACGGGCGCAATGGGCAGCATTGGGAGGATATCCGCGTTCTGTCTGCTTGTTGCGCTGGCGTTACCTGCGGTGCTGGTGGAGGGAGGAACGGAGGGCGGGAGGCGGCTATCGCCGGCGGTCGTGAAGACCGAGGACGCCGGGGCGATCAGCAATGAAACGACAGACTCAACGGACGAATCGAGGGCGGTCGAGGAGGCGAGGGCGATGACGGCGCTGCTCGTGAAGGCGCCTCGGACAGCCATGGCTAACGCGCCTTTCCTCCAAGCCCTCTGTCCGTAACGCCCTGCGAGCAGACGCTTCGCTGCGTGTCCGCCTCGCCTTGCGCTCCGCCGCTTGCTCAATTTCTAATCAAAACGTTTCGTTTCATCGCCTCCACTGCCATTGCTTGACCCGCACCGCGCATGCCCTCCCGCGCCTCTTGCGCTCCCTCGTCCGCGTTCCACGACGATCATCCGCAGATCTCTGCCCGCGCTCATTCCCCCCCATCAGCATTCTGTTCCGCTCGCCATCCACTTCTCTCTCAGATTTGACCGTTCCTAACCCTCCCCAACCCCTCCTTCCCCCTCTTCCCCCCCTCCTCACCTCCTCTCCTTCCGGCCCCGTCCCGCCGCCCATCAGTCGACGCGCGGAGAGGAGGCTCCGCAACGCTTTTCCTTCCGCTGAGCGGCTTCCGCGTGCTGGCGGACGCCGTGGGGTACGATTACCCGCAATTTAACCGCATCCTAAAGTACCACCTTATACCCGACGCGCGCTACACTCTAGCGGATCTCAAGGCGCTGCGGGAAGACAGTCTGCTGCCGACCGCCGAGGGCAGCAAGTTGAAGGTGTTTTCGAGCCGCGGCTCCAAGATCGTGTGGCTGCAGGGGCGCTCTATCATCCCCGCGGCTGTGACTATACCGAACCTGTTTGTGGGGGAGCGCATCATTGTGCACGGGCTGAGCCAAAGACTAATTCCGCCCTCGTTTTAGTCACTGCGTTCACCAACACCTGGTTTATGAGCCCTGCATTTGTTTCTCGCGGAGAGGTTTCCCCATTTGCTTTGAGCACAGGCCCATTGCCTGTAGTGCAGTGCAGCACTCCAGTGCACAGCAGCATCCATCCTGAGTTTCTGCCATGTGCGCATGGAGGCACAGCCGGGGGTACCTGACTGCTCTAGGTCCCTCCTCTTTGCTCCTCTAAGGGCCGCCCTAGGATGAAATGTAGTAGCTGACTAATAATATAGAACTGCCTTTATTGTACAACAAAATACAGCTGACAGCCGTGCTGGAATCAAGCAAAATGGGGCTTACCGTATTACCAAGTGGCCTACCGATGCTTGAACCCGATCAAAGACAAGACCACGGCACCTCACACCCCCTTCACACAAGACCCTGCCCCAGCAGACACGTCACTAACTCCACTCAACGCTGCCCCCAATCTCCCCATTTCCCCCTCCCCACCAACCCCCCATCCTACCCCATCACCCCTCATCCTGCTCGCCCCTTCCTGTAAACTGCCATCTGACACGCTTGAATCCGGGAGGCTTATAACGGGTGCATCCCCCCAGCGCTTCACGGAGCCCAGGCGGCGCCGAGCCCAGTGGCACTGGATGGACTGTGCCGCCCGGGACATGGGCCGCCGCACCTCCTCCCAATCCACGGTCGCCACGCGCGACAGCAGCTGCACCACCCCCTCCTGCTCCTTCACCCCTTGCCCACCACTGCCGCCACTGCCAAAACTGCCGCCGCTGCTGCCGCGGCCTCTGTGCGGTGTGTGTGCTGCTCCCTGTGACTGCGTCTGCAGCGCTGCTGCCGGCGCCCTGCCACTGAGGGTGCGGTCGAGTGGAGGGCGGGTGGGGCCATGAGAGCGGGCGAGAGAGAGGCTGCTGCAGCTCAGAGCTCGCCCTGGCAGGGAAGGCGGGATGGCGCCACCAGCGGTGATGCTAGCAGCAGTGGCGGCAACAGCAGTGGCGCCACCAGCGGTGATGCTAGCAGCAGCGGCGTCAGCACAAGTGGCGGCTGCAGCAATCGTGGCAGAAGAGGTTGCCTTGCTGCTGGTTGGGCGGCGGTGTGCCGCCCGGCATGCTGCCGCCCAGTTGCTTTGGTGGGAGTCGAGAGGGAGTGAGGGAGAGGCGAGAGGAGGCGCGGAGGAGGCAAGAGGGTGGGGACTGGCCAGGGCAGCAGCAGGTGGGAGAGATGTGGCAGTGGTGGGAGCTCGGGAGGCAGTTGGTGGAGTGGCAGCAGGGATGTCAAGAGCAATGACAGCAGCAGGCACAGAAGCAGCAGTGGGTACTGGCGCAGTGGCAGCCACGGGCAGAGGGGTGGCAGGGGCGGTGAATGGGGAAGGCTGAAGGGGTGCGATGGCAGCAGCGGGAGTAGCGGTGAGTGGCGTGGGGGAGAGGCGGGCCGCCGTGCATTCACGCACCACTGAGGCCAGGTCCCACTCCCTTCTCCCCTCCTCCCTCCCCTCCAATACGCCCCCACCAACCCTAGTAACTCCATTCACACCGCACACCACCACATCCAACTCCTCCCACACTCCTCCTCCCTCCTCCTCTCTGTCCATCCCCTCCAGGCCACTGGCGCTCATGTCGTGAGGCGAATCCCAGAGCTCCGCACGCACTGCCACGCTGGCAGCTGCCTCGAAGTCCATTGGTGCCACGCTGGCAGCCTCCTCGGCGCTCATTGGCTGCGGTTGCTGAGACTGGCCAATCAGAAGGCAGGGCTGAGTCACCAGCGCCCTTTCAGGCAGAGTGGGCTCCCCCAGAGCACCCCCATGCTCACCACCTTCCTCCGCATCCCTCTGCACCGCACACATCGCCTCATGGGCCTGTCCGCCCACACTGCCGTCCACACTGCCTCCCATTTCGCCTCCCGCCATGCCTTCCGCTCTTCCATCCCCGTTCCAATCCTCAAGACCCTCCCCCCGCTCTTGCTGCTCTTGCCCTTGCGCCTCAAGCTGCTGTTGTTGCTGCGCTGCTTGCCATTGCTCGCTGATGCCCCCTTGCTCACAGAATGCCAGGCTTGCCACCCCATCCAGACTGGCGGGCAGCCTCGGCGTCAGGCTCGCATCCAGGTTCGGAAACGGAGGCGAGGGGCTCGGCAGCTCGTCTAGGTCCGGCAGGCGAGCCCAGTCCACCTCGACCTGGTCCCTGGATTCCAAACCTGACGGCGTCTGCCACTCCAGGCTCGGCAGCAGGTTCGGCGAGATGCCCGAGCCTTGCTCGCCACCGCAGGCCAGAGGCATGAGTGGGAGGTCCGAAGTGCCTTCGTCAGTCCACAGTGACTGCATAGAGTGTGCCTGTAACGAGAGATCTGGAGAGCCGCTCCAGTTGGGCGATTCATACAGATGTGATTCAAACGAGGGGCCCTGTGGGCCTAGAGAGGGTGACTCTAACGAGAGCTCGGTCAGCAGGCTCTTACTGCTGCTGCCGTCCATGTGAGGGCGTGGTTGCGGTGGGGAGATGGGCGAGGGGAGTGAAGGGGCGGCGGGAGGGAGGGAGGAGGCGGGTGAGGGAGGGGAAGCAGGACGCGTGGGGGAGGAAGCGGGTGCATGCGAACAGGGAGGGGCGCCACCTTCGCAACCAGACACGTCAACCTGGAACGCAGACACGTCAGCATGGGACGCAGACACGTTGTCATGAGACGCAGACAGATCAGCAACAGCAGGAGGGGGCACAGCAGCAGAGGCGGAGGCAGGAGCCGCGGCGGAGCCCAGAGGCCGTCCCGGCATTGCTGCTTCCCCTCGCGCCACCTCCGCGCCATCTGCGCCGTCCCTCTGCGCGCCACGCGCGCCCGCCGCCTTGCCGTCGCGCGCGGCCACGTGCGGCGCGTTGGAGCTGCCCTGCCGCGAGAACGGCCTTCGCGCGCGCCGCTTCCCGCCGTCTCCCGCGCCCTGCTGGCCCATCAAAGCCCCCCCATCCGCGGCGGAGCTCCCCGCGGGCGCGACGACCGCCCTTCCCGCCGAGTGAGCCGCCGCTACCGCCTCCCGCAACACCGCCACCTGCCTCGCCGTGGTGGCGCCCCCGTCGCTGCGCGCTCTCGCGGACGCTGGCACTGACGCCGTCTTTGATGCTCCGCGTTTCCCGCCGCTAATCACTGTGTCCAGCGACCCCTCTTCCGCATCCGCCGAACCGGCGCTCGTCCGCCCGCAGATCGACCGCGCGCCGCCCTCAGATCCCGCAGCATTTGCCCCTGCCGCATCCGTCGCCGCAACCGCCGCGTCCGTGGGGCATCGCTGAAGGCAGCTCTGCGCGCTCGGAGTAGGCGGCTCGCTGGTGGTTGCTTCCTGCCCGAGGCTGAAGCTCTGGCTCGGGCCGGACTTGGTCGGTTGCTCAAGACTGGAAGCAGGTTCGGATGTACTGAACGTGGGGTCAAGAAAGCTCCAGAGCTCTCCGAGCGTTTGGCGAAAGATGGGCGCTGGCGAAGGCAGTAGCGAACGTCGTTGCAACAACTTTTTCGCCAGAGGCTGCCCGACAGCAACATCTGCCTTCTGTTTCGCTCCGCGATTGGCGCGTGCGCTCGTATCAAGATTCATCGGCGCGAGAGTCTGCGCCGCGAGGCTGGCCGAATCCCCGCCGCGCGGGAAGGCGGGGACAGTGGGGGACGACGGAGCACTCTCAAGTTGATCGCAAGAATCCGAGGTGCTCGCGTTGAGAGCGTCCACTTGCTTCCACTCACCGCCAGTTGCGGCGGTTGACTCGGTCAACGGAGCTTTCTCCTTCTTCCCCCTCGCCCGCTTCGGCTGCTTGCCGGCACCCGCCAAGGCCTCACGGCGGCGCTTTCTCGCCGTCGCTCCGCTGCCGCCGGTGTCGGCCGCTTTAGCCGGCGGGGAGGAGAGGCCGCTGGCGAAGGCGGCGGGGTGAGAAGCGACGATCTGGATTGAACCTTTTGCGCAGCTCGCGGCGGCAGTGGCGTTGGCTGCCGGCGGGGAAACGAGCAGCCACTCATCGATCAAGACTGTTGGGCTAATACCCGTCATCGTGCCACGTGGCAGCAGTCAAACCTACGAAATTCGCGTACGATATGGACTAGGCTTGAGAGAACCACGGCTAGTATCGCGGCGCGCGCGTGGTGCGCTGGGCATGAGCCCAGTTGCTCGAATTCGTCCCTGGTACGTGCCGCTATTCGTCACGTTCCTGGAGCTACGATGGCGTCAAAGGTAAATTAGTTCATTGCCAGAACGCGTACTAAGACGAATGCGGACGATGCAGACTCGTCACACGTGATAGCTCAACATTGGCGAGAATAGCTGCGACCTCTGTTGGCGGGCCTGAGCTCAAGAAGGCGCAGCTTCATGGCCAGGTTGGTATGGAAGAAGCGATAGCTTGAGAGGCGCGAAGTGAATTATTGGAATGGAAAGTGGCTGATAGGGTGAGATTGAGCCAAGGATGCGAATGCGCGGAAAAAATGTGACGGCGGGTGAAAGCAGGCGGAAAATGCGATGCGCGGATGCGCGGAAGAGTGCGAGGGGGCTGTGGAACTTGTTTCCTAATGAGGGTGGAAGGGGGATGTGGGGGGTCGATAATTTCTTCTGCCCACGGGCCACTCGATTCCACACACAGCTCGTTGGCGTACTGATCTTTCCATCCCCGTTGCCTGCCCGTACTGAAATTACAATGAACACGTCAAACTCGAAGTCGGCCCCCGTCAAACCGCATAACTTGCGCCCACTCCGCCACCTTCCGCAACCTGCCCTCGCCCACCCAGCTCAGCCTGACTTGGGTAACGATGGAGACCCTTGGATTCGGGATAGGGTAATCTCGTCCGTTGCAACGCGTTTTGAATTATTGGTGGTGCAGGAGCGAAAGCCAATGGTGGGTCGAGGTGAGCTGACATTGTGTAAGGAATTTTACCGAATTCCTTATCGGGGTTGACTGCTTCGCGTACAGCCCCGATTTTCGGACTCTGCACGTTTGGCCGACATCAATGATACCGAGCCTCCTCGCGTCGCCTTCGGCCTTTCTCTTCGCCAAACCTGCACCCAACCTCACTCACCCGAAGTTCCCTCCTAGCTAGCCTACTCACTATATTAGCGTGTGCCTTCATTGTAAAATCAGTCTGTTCAATAACCTTCTCTTTATTCGTTAATCTGCGCACTCTCTTTTACAACTCATAACGCATTGCTCCTGACAAGCTTGTGACATTCTTGGAGTGGGTTACGTCCAAGACAACAACTGTAAGGAATTTTCCCGAATTCCTTAATCGGGGTTGACTGCTTCGCGAACAGCCCCGATTTTCGGACTCTGCACGTTTGGCCGACATCAACGATGCTGAGGCTCCTCGCGTCGCCTTCGGCGTTTCCCTTCGCCAAACCTGCACCCAACCTAGCTCACCTGAGGTTCCCTCCTAGCTAGGCTAGCCACTACATTAGCGTGTGCCTTCGTTGTATGCTCAGTCTGTTGAATCACAATCTCATTATTCGTTAATCTGCGCACTCTCCTTTACAACTCATAACACCTGGTATCAGAGCTAATTTCCCAGTTCACCCCGCTTTTCGAGGGTAGTTTGGTGGCACGGGTGTGGCTGGTATAGTGGACTACACGACGGTTGGCCGCAGGGTTTGTTAATTCAAACCTGTCCGACTCCGATAGTTCGTGTTTTCCATTCGCCTGAAGGCCACGGAGACCTGCTTGCCTACCAGACGTAGTGCTAGACACATGGACCAGGAGGCGGTTAATAGACTCATGGCGCAAGTGGTAGAGATGCTGGAGGGCATGATGTCATTAATGGTGGAAGTGACAACCTTACGTGGAGAAAACGCCGAGCTACGCCAGGCGCGAGGCGAAGCGCGCCAGGAGTCGCCCGATGACGAAGGCGAAGGCAATAGTCAAGCGGTGAGCAACCCGTTGGATGCGCTCACACGTGACTTCGAAGAGGAAGACAGGCAGCGAGCGGCAGCAGCGCCATTTGCAGTAGCGACGATCAAGATTAAACCCGTCAGCCCGCCCCCGTTTCATCCTACGGACAAGGCGACTACGGTGAAGGGGTCGGTGTTCGGTGTCGAAGTCTTTTTCACTGCAGCAAGTGTGAATGACGATGCCACGCATATTAATTACTCGGTTTCGCTTCTTCGAGGCGCAGTGCTTGAGTGGTGGCGCCGAAACTTGGAAACGGGGACCTCGACAGGTGTGACATATGCGGCAGACAGGACCTCAACAGTGATTAATCAAGTGGCGTAACCGATCTTCGGAGTGACCAAGATACTCACGTGGAGAGAGTGGGGCGCGGCCTTACGAGATCGCTTCGAGCACGTATCCGCCTCGGAGCAAGCTCGCATGAAGCTGCGTGCCTGGTCGCAGGTGGCATATGTCCAAGACTACACAGCATCATTTATGGGCCTCGCCGACCATGTGGATGACATGTCGGAAGCAGAACGGTTGGATAAATATAGCAGCGGCATCAAGTACGAGATTCAATACGAACTTTGCAGGAGCCGCCCGACATCATTCATAGAAGCAGTACGGCTGGCGGAGTCAATAGATGCGCTGATGCAGTATACGAGAGCAGCTTCCCGGGAGGGAATCCGCTTTCGTGGCCAGACCCATCGGGCCACGATCAACGCCGTCCATACACCCGACCGCCCTCCTAAGGGACCGTATTATAAGTGTGGGAAGAGGGGTCACTACATGCACGATTACCATGAGAAAACGCCGCTGACGGGGAACGACAGGAAGGAGCAGGGAAATGGGAAGAGTCAGTAATTAGCGGGCCCTTTACTGACTGCGCTCCGTCGCCCGAACCCCACCATCCCCACCGAGTCGTGGTTTCGATTCATGCAATCGATCGCACTCGGCCGAATAACGAGGACAATCATGTGGATCACCCTGTTATGGTCGCTGGCAAGGTGTTTGTTAAGAATGTTCGTCGATGGAGGGGCCAGCCATAGCCTCTTCAACTCGGCGATAGCAAAAACATGCAAGCTGCAACTTGACAGGTGTCTGCCCGAAATTGACGCTCACCTCGTGGATGGGACGCCTCTGGCGATATTGGAAGAAACACGGACGGTTCGGATTGAATGCGGCGACGATTTCGGCTTCAGCATGAAGTTCCTCGCGGCGACACTGGATGGCTGCGACGTACTGCTGGGACGTGATTGGCTGCGACGGCACAACTGTCAGAGGTCCACTGGTGATCCCCGATTGATCCTAGGGAAGGGTTACAGGCTCGTTGTCCTGGGGGGTTATGGGCGCACTGATCCGCTACTTAACAAGCCATTTTATCCCAATGGTCTAGTGGTTGGGATTCTGACATGGTATCAGAGCGATCTCGGGTTCGAATCCCAGTGTGTGCACTTCGGGCATCCCGGTGCGGGGGGGTGTCAGAGGTCCACTGGTGATCCCCGATTGATCCTAGGGAAGGGTTACAGGTTCGTTGTCCTAGGGGGTTATGGGCGCACTGACCCGCTACTTAACAAGCCCTTTTATCCCAATGGTCTAGTGGTTGGGATTCTCACAACAACCCCGTCATCGACTGGACAACGGGATCGTGCAATATTAACAAGCACGAGGTGTTAGAGAGTAGCGAGAATGACAAGGGTGACTTACTAGGAAGGGGTGAAGGGTACAAGTACAATGTCGAGAGACATTGTATACCCCCTAAGGCTAAACCCACTATAGCCTAGACAACTGTAAACACATAAACACATATGTTTGACACACCGATAGCCAGAGCAAGCAATGGTCACAAGACCAGTCAAGAGAAGAAGTAAAGCAAAACAAGCTCAGGGTGGGTCGCAAAGTCACCACACAGTTCGAGCACAAGCAAAGGGCCATAAGGCCAGTTCACATGCAGAGTTATAAAAAGAGAACAAACAATACAGTGATCATACCCTAGCAAGTGCAAGCATGCAGGTATATATATAGATCACAGTACAAGCAGAGTCAGGCAGTAAGTAAGTGAGGCAAAGTAGGCACAAGGCTTAACACAGTAACAAAGCGCTGATGATCACCAGGCGGAAGTGCCTTGGTGAAGACATCAGCAGTGTTGGCCCGAGTGGCCACGTACGCAAGACGAAGCTGACCACGCTGCTGCAACTCTCGAGCAAAGAAGTATCGCAGAGCGATGTGCTTCGTTCTGTGCTCCAGTCTGTGCTCCTGACACAAGGCTATCATGGCCTTGTTGTCTACGTACAGGACTGGAGGCGAACGAGGCTGCTCTCCCAAGTCTGTCAGCAAGTAGGTGAGCTAGCGTAGCTCCTGAGCAGCCATGGCTCCGGCGTAGATCTCAGCCTCACAGCTGGAGCTGAGAACTGAAGACGAGCGGGTAGACCGCCAAGAAACCGAGCCGGACCCAAGGCTGAAGGTGTAACCCTGCGACGACCGCTGCGTAGCTGAGTCGTCAACCCAGGAGGCGTCTGCGTGACCAGTGAGGACAACTGGACCCCGTCCTCCAAGCACAAGCCCCATGCCCGACGTACTGCACAGGTAACGCAGTACCCTCTTCGTAGCATCCTAGTGCACCTTTCGGTGCCTACCGGGAGCCACGTAGCGAGCCAGAAGGCTAAGAGGGTACGCGAGGTCGGGTCATGTGCAAGTCATCAGGTACATGAGGCAACCCACAAGCTCTGGATACGGACCACTCGGCTCTACGGACTCGTCCGAAGGTGGAGCTGAGAGCGAGTGGCTGGTAGACAGAGGAGTGAGCTGTGGCGAGGATTACTGGAAGCCGAAGCGTTGAAGGACCTGGTGCACCATGTGTGACTGAGTCAGTGTGATGGTGCGCCGTGCTCTGTCCCGGGTGATCTGCAGGCCAAGATAGCTGCGCAGTTCACCCAGGTCAGTGCAGGTATGTCTCTTCTGCAGCTCGGACTTCACTAGGGTCAGTGCCTCAGTGTCAGCCGTGGAAAAGTCGAGGTCGTCGACGTACACTAGGACGTAGAAGGGCGGCAGCGAGGTGTCGGTGCGTAGAAACAGCGACGGGTCTGCTGTAGAAGGAACAAACCCAAGAGCCGCAAGTGTAGTCCTGAGTGTGTCGTGCCAC